GTCCATTACCGCTCTAAGACAGTCATTAAGAGGAGAGATGCCATCTGAGTCGATGATCTGGTCATGTTACAAAAATAGATGGAGATGGATGAATCTGGTTTACAGTCCAAGTTCATATATGAACAAACTTAATGAATGGCTTGTCCTAACATATTCAAATATGTTTGAAAGGGAAACAAATGACATCGTTCCAAAACACACTGCAGAAATAATCCAGTTTGAGACCGCTTTAACTGCTCTGGCTCAATGCTAGGGAATTCTGGGAACTGTAGTTTTATGAGACATTTAACCACCTCTGTCAGAGAGCTCTGATAAACTAAGCTAAAGCGGTCTCAAATTGGATTATTTCTGCAGTGTGTTTTGGACCATAATTTTAGGGCTGAAACAGTATAACCCAAAATCCTGGTAGTACATCAGTGGTAGCAAAACTTTTATGAGTTTTAAGAGTAGAGCTTGGAAAATTAACTTTTTCATGACAACTACCAGAAATCGCTGGCTTGCAGATTCTAGGAGTGGTAGTCATTCCCTGAGCACTCTGAGTGCCTGTCTACATTATAAAATTAAACTAATTTAATTCTTATTCCCTCTCTTTTCAAGATACCTTGGAAACTGGAGTGGACTACAGCTCTTTAGCCAATAATTTTGAGTGCCTCCTCAAACTATGAATCCTAGGAATATATAGGATGGACCCTGACAGTTAAAAAGACATGAAAGAGACATGACAGTGTAGTGCACCATCCCCCAGAGCCCTTCATTATTCCTGTAAGCTTTGATGAATGAGGCAGAGAATTAAGCAATAAAAGTGTCCTCTGAAAGCATCCTGACTCAAAAGGAAGCATAGATGGCATTGCAACCTGAGAGTGATGTGAATCTGCAAACTCCTTTCATGTAGTGCATGCATGCACAGTCTCTCTTTCTCTCTCTCTCTCTCTCCCTCCTTTCTGGCATATGATGATCCAGATATATATGCTTTGCAACAGAGTGTGGCAATGCTCCAGATTTACTTTTGATAATACTTAAGGGATGCTTTCCCTCCAAGGGTGTCTTCTATATTTATCAATCAAATCCACAGTTTGGTCAGATCTTTCTCATGAGCAGCCAACAGGTTATATATAATAAGATTATGGATTTGGCCTGTAGTGGTTTGAGCACTGGAGTCCCAGCTCGGCCATGGAGACCCACTGGGTGACTTTGAGCAAGTCACACTCTCTCAGCCTCAGAGGATGGCCATGGCAAACCCCCTCTGAAGAAACTTGACAGGAAAACCCTAGGACAGGTTCACTTTAAGAGTCCCCAGAAGCCAAAAATGGCATGGAGGGACACAACAAACTCCACTGTCGTAGTCCAAGCAAGGCTCAAACCACTTGGGTTCATCCCAACTACAACTCCCAATATCCCCAAAGGGTTACGGTTCAATAAAAAAAAAGAAAAGAAAGAGTAATGTTTCCAGGCTGCCTAGCACTTCCTTCCCCAGTTTAATAACAACAACAACAACAACAAC